TCCTAGATGGTGGATGATCGCCACAATGTCATACACGTGCGACAAGACAATAAATATTGATGATTTTGGCTTCGAGGTATAATTTGTGATATTACAAAGGAGAAATAGTCAATTAATAACAAAGTTTAAGTAGCATACTTAGTGAATAAAAGGTCTCAGTTCATCACAGTTAAATAGTACATAGTTATATCCTTATCTAAATTTTATTTCAAACAAATATCTTCCTCTGATATTATTTTTTGGTGCGGGTCATTCAGAATGAAAGAATATTAACAAGTTCTCGCTCAAAGGCACTTCACCACTATCATCATGCCTTGGAACGCAATTGATTCTTGTTCTCAAATGAAGCTCAAAATAGTACGTAATAAATGTTAAAATCTCTTTAACAATATAGACCTCAGATATCGATGCCTCAACATTCACCTTATTTTTTACCTTTACCTTGGTTTTATCATTGTTTTTTATTTGTTATTATTTGTTAAATTTAATTTTTTAATTAAATAGAATTAATTTATAAAAAAGTATAGGTGGATGCTCCCTTGTATATATGTAACAACATGTTAAACAATTTGTTCATTTACAGGAATTCCAGCATGGATTATCCATTTCATTTGAATATTCATGTGTATGGAAGTTGAATAAGACGAAGTTGTGGTCAATAGCTGCTCCATTCCTTGTGCTTTCCGATGGATTTGTAAGCTCTACACATGTCAAGCTGACAAACGACATATGTAGAAATAAATTGTGATATTTTTATGCATAAATACCAAACAACAAAGGGCTGGACTGACCATGTGAGGTGCCATTTAGTCTAATAAGTTAATTAATTACTTGTGGGTTCGGTCTATTGAAACTGATGAATATTATTCAAGTAGATATAATTGAAAAGCAAATGCAGCCACGAGCTTTAGAAGTATGTCTACATCGCCAAGAACAGGTTAATACGGCAGGAAAATTATAAGGTCAATTGCTTACCATCAACGTAGGGTCGGTATTTATTTCTCTTTCTTTTGAGAGTCATATCGTAGCCATAAAACGCGGCCTAATCTATCGAGTTAATTCAAGATATAACTTCAATATTCTTTATCATAATATTATTTAAAATAAAGTTAAACCAATCCTAAATTTATCTATATAATCTGAATATATATTTAATTGAGTGGACTCAGTTGAGTCAACCACGAGTACAAATGACTTATTCAAATGCCTTTGAATTTACAAAGAGATGCTGGAAATGCATCCAATCAAGGCTCTTTTAGAGGAGAAATTATTGGATATGTGAGGAGTTGTGTTTTGCTTTTTTATTTTTTATTTTTAAATAGAGGACACATCATGAAAACCATTTATGAATCAAAAGTATAATATTAGCTAGCAAGGTATACTGAATATTTCTTTCCCCATTAAATAAAATGGCGCAAAATAAATGAAGTAGATTTTGGAGGCATAATTTGGTGAATTATATATATATATATATATATATAGGTCATTCATATTCAAAAGGGAAAGAATGATTTGATAAAAATCATAAGTAAATTAATTATGTAATCCTCCAATCATTTCAATAAATAGAAATAAAAATCTGAAAGGGAAGAACTAAGGAATATACATTGGATGAGAATTCATATATATATATATATATATATATATATATATGATTGTGCAATTGCAAAGAATACGAACAAGACATATCTTTGAAAATGTCCGGTGTCCTGACTGTGGACGCATGTGGTTTGTTTTTGGTGACAATTATTAATTTCCTCTGGGTACCAAATTATTCCTTATAAAGATTAATCCTTGCTTTTAATCGGATTGAATATACAAATTTACGGTATTTTCAATAGTAAAATAAAAAATGTTTATATATTTAATTTAAATTGTTAACAAATTGGGTGATTTATTCTTAGGCACTACTAGTAAGAAGATATCAGTACTGGTAGATTTCAATTTCTGGGATTCCAAAAGAAATGGATTTTTTTTTCATTTTTTTCGGTACAAATTAAGAACACCAAGCACAATTTTCTCACAAACCAAATAAGTTCTAATAGTTTTTTCTTTGACTATTTTATAATTTAGTCGTTTTTACATTTATTTTCCATGTCTTCTTGCCGGGTGCATGTCTTCCAATGCAAGGTTGACAAAGTAAAGAGGGGCAGACAACGACGGGGAACAATATATACGTAATTAAGTAATCAATGATTTTACATATATATATATATATATATATATAATCATTGATTAGTTAATTACCTGTATATATATATATATACACACTAAATAAAACTCATATTTTTTAAATAAAATATTCGTTGAATATAGGGTTTTTTTTTTTTTTTGGGGTGGGGGGTGTGGTGGGGGTGCTTTATTCATCAAAACTCTTAGAACCGTGAGGCTTACCTCCTGTGGCTCCAGTCATTTGACTCGGTCATGCTGCAGACAACATTCATGCAATTATTAAATTACAAAGTGGAAAATAGCATGATTAATTTCTTAAAATCTCCGAAGACTTGCAAGAACCTGCTTGGACACAAAGAAGATGTTTTCATGGACGCTCTTCCTTTCACAATTTTATATAGTACTCAATTTAGTGCAATATTTTCTTTATTTTTCTTCATAAATTTTATTTATTACAATTTTATCTTTTCAGAATTCATCTCTAGTCTTTTCCGATTAAAGTAATGTTTTTCTTTTGAAGCTGCAATGTACTTAGAATAATTTATTTCTTAAAAGTTAACAATATCAAAGTTAGACAAATTGATGTTAATATCTGATTAAAAATCAAATTAAATATACAAGTATAATTGTTAAAAAAGGTTTTCAATATTAAAATATTTTTTTATCATACAAATGGGTCACTATTGAATATATATAAGTTCATGTTTTTTTTTAATATATCGAATTAGCAAAATTAGATGTTTATTTTTTTAATAATAATTTTTTGTTCAAATTAATTATGCAATTTTTTGTTCAAACTAAAGGAATAAAGATATCTTTAACCTTATTTTACAGCATAATGGCCTCTAAAAGGCTTTGAATTAATCTACTAATGAAATACCACACTATCTCATTTCGTTTTCGAAAAATAATGTTGACTTACCAATTTTCAATGTGCTCCAATTGAATGGAAGATTTCTGGGTGCGCCGCTGCTTTCTAAGGTTTTAAATGTAATATTTTTATTAAATTTCAAGTATACATCATTATCTTCTCGAATTTAGGTATAAGATTCTTCCCCTCCATTGTTTTTCAGACTTGTCTTTCAAATTAAAAATTTTATCCTCCTCAATGTTTGATTTTTAAAAAAGGTCCATCGGATTGTTCTTCTGAAGAATTCAATCTAAGTATCCAATGCTCTAGAATACGGCTCCATGATATCACAATATTGCTCGGAAACACGCATTAGCAAATTAATTTAAAACACAATCATTTCAAGTATGTATATGGAAAATTGTATTATTTTCTCTTATAAAAACATAGAATTTAATATAAAAATAAGAATTGCATCATATTATATATATGAGATTGGGTATTACAAATACAAACATGCTAAATAGTTTCTCTTATAAAAACATAGAATTTAATATAAAATTTTTAGATTTGAATTAGCCAAAGAATCATGTAGATAAATTATAAAATTACTTATTGAATCAAATTTAAAAATAATATCATATAATTTTTTATGAACTAAATATTTTTATTACATTTAAAAAGTTTGAGTGGATTAGTACTTGTTATTTTTATTATTATTTTTCTACATTTGTTTTCAAAGTCAACTGTCTTTTACACCAAGCTACCAGTAAACATCATTATCTTCTCGAATCTCAAGTGGAAGATTTTTCCCCTCCATTGTTCTTCAGACTTGTCTTTCAAATTAAAAATTTTATCCTCCTCAATATTTGTTTTTTAAAAACACTCCATTGGATTGTTTTAATTTCTTCAAAAAAATTCAATCCAAGTATTCAATGCTCTAGAATACGGCTCCATAATATCACAATATTGCTCGGAAACACACATTAGCAAATTAATTTAAAACAAAATCATTTCAAGTATATGGAAAATTGTATTATTTTCTCTTATAAAAAAACATAGAATTTAATATAAAAATAAGAATTGCATCATATTATATATATGAGATTGGATATTACAAATACAAACATACTAAATAGTTTCTCTTGAATCGAACCCATCTACGACCACTTCGAAATTACCAACTGCAACGTAAGATTTATGTCTATTGCCAAATCGGATCTGTTGACAATCGAATTAGACTTGTTAATTAACTACCAAATCACCTGGATTAACTATCAAATCATCCGATTTTACTGTGGAATCGAGGTCCTGAGGTTGTGCCGCTAATTGTTCAAAAGGTTTTTCTGGAAAGTCAAGAGCACCTTTTTTTTTTCTTTTTTCTTTTTTTTTTATTTCCTTCCAAAGAATTCAATGACATATTAGCCAAGTCAAAAAAATGTACATAAAGAACACGATTCGGGTTGGTACCAATAGACAATTTACAAAACATTGGTATCAATGATTTCACACTAACATGTAATTTCTCCATGAAATTAAAAAATTTCAAGGATAGGTATCAACTTGTTGCCTTATGAATAGATCCAGCAACGTAATTATCAGAACCTGACCTAAATTAGAGTTGGTTTGAACTTGTTTAGGAAATTGATTGAGTCAACTCAGGTTTGCAATTTCAGTAAAAAAAAAATATTTTTATTTAATATGGTAACAATTTATTTTTTATTTTTTTTCAAAACAAAATTAATTTTAGTTTTAGTTTTTTGAATAAAACAATTTTATCTGATGTGATGTTTTTTTTTTTAAAAGAAAAAAACATGATTTTAAAATAGATTTGGAGGCCGGCTCATTACTCCGGGAGGTGACCTAATCAACCCGCAATTCAGATATTAGATCGGGTGAGAATTATGAGATCAATGCTCACTCGCCAAACGTCATATCCCAATTTCCGGTTCTTGATTGTCAAAGAAAAGCTTCCATATTTGAATTTTCTCCTAAAAACATGTTAATCGTTTTCAACCATTAAATAAAACGACATTTATTTTCCCTATAAAACACTTTCTCTTCGCTTAACTAAAATCCACGCAAAGGCAATCATTCTCTCTTACACTAAATCAAATGGGAAAACCAACCCTTTTAGCCTTCCTTGTAATTCTTATCTTCAATATAACTTCTTCTGCTTTCTCTGCCACGGCTGATGGTGATGATTCAGTTTATGAATCTTTCCTTCAGTGCCTGCAAAGCAACACTAACCCACAAGACGAAATCTCAAAACTTGTTTATTCACAATCTAGCACATCTTACACTTCAGTTTTAAGAGCTTACATAAGAAATGCACGCTACAATACTTCAGCAACACCGAAACCACTTGTCATTGTAACTCCAACTCAAATATCCCATGTTCAAGCCACGGTTATTTGCACAAAAAAAGTTGGTTACCAACTCAAAATCAGAAGTGGTGGGCATGATTATGATGGGATTTCCTACGTTTCTGACATGCCCTTTTTCGTTCTTGACATGTTTAATCTAAGATCTATTGAAGTTAATGTCAACGATGAGTCTGCTACTGTTCAAGCAGGGGCTACTCTGGGTGAACTTTATTATAAAATCTGGGAGAGCAGCAAAGTTCATGGTTTTCCTGCGGGGATTTGTCCCACGGTTGGTGTTGGTGGGCATTTAAGTGGTGCGGGTTATGGCAATATGTTAAGGAAATATGGGTTGTCGGTTGATAATGTAGTGGATGCAGAAATTGTTGATGTTAATGGGAAACTTCTTGATAGGAAAGCAATGGGGGAGGATCTTTTTTGGGCAATTCGTGGAGGTGGTGGTGGAAGTTTTGGGGTTATAATTTCTTACAAGATCAAGCTTGTTTCTGTTCCTGAGACAGTTACTGTTTTCAGAGTTGAAAGAACACTCGATCAGAATGCTACTGATGTTGTTTACAAGTGGCAATTAGTTGCTCCTCAAACAAGTAATGATCTTTTCATGAGGATGCTCTTGCAGCCTGTGACAAGGAACGGTAATCAGACTATTAGAGCGTCAATTGTGACATTGTATTTAGGGAATTCTGATAGTCTTGTGGCTTTATTGGGAAAAGAATTCCCTGAATTGGGATTGAAGAAGGAGGATTGTATTGAGACAAGTTGGATTCAGTCTGTGATGTGGTGGGATGAGTCTCAAAATCTTGGAAAGTCACCTGATGTTCTTCTTGATAGGAATCCTAATGATGCCAATTTCTTGAAGAGGAAATCAGATTATGTTCAGAATCCAATATCAAAAGATGGGTTGGAATGGTTGTGGAAAAAGATGATTGAAGTAGGCAAGACTGGATTGGTTTTCAATCCTTATGGTGGTAGAATGAATCAAATTCCTGCCTCAGAAACTCCATTCCCCCACAGGGCAGGCAATTTGTTCAAGGTGCAGTATTCAGTGAATTGGGAAGAAGCAGGAAGCGAGGCAGACAAGAATTTCATGACTCAAATAAGGAGGCTTTACAGTTACATGACCCCATTTGTTTCCAAGAATCCAAGGAGTGCATATCTGAACTATAGGGATCTTGACATTGGTGTTATGGAGGCTGGTAAAGATAGTTTCGAACAGGGTAGTGTTTATGGCTACAAGTATTTCAATGACAATTTTGATAGGTTGGTGAAAGTAAAGACTGCTGTTGATCCAGAAAATTTCTTCAGGAATGAGCAGAGCATCCCTACTTTACCAAGTAAGGCATAGAAGAGTTTTAGTAGTGATTTTAACCAAATGGTTTGTAATAGAAATAATAATCTATAGTTGCTTTATTTTCAATTGGAAGGCTACATGATTGCTTTTTGGTGGAGTCTTTCCCTTCCATCATCGTCGATCTTTTCCTTTTTCTTTAATTTATAAAATAAATCTTACTTTAGGGTAATGTAAATCTGTGATCTCCACAATAGCAGATCTTATCCCCTCTATTTATCATGCTTGCCTTCTTCAAGGCTGAAAGGTGATAAAGACCTTGATGCCAAGTGTATGCTTTTTCTTCATTTGATCTCTTGTGAATGAATGGTACTTGTTTTGCCATAGGACAAGGAAAGTTGCATTAAGCCTCCGTATCTTTAGGTGATGTGTCGGGTTTCAAAATTGTGATTGAGTGAAAAAATATTAAAAATAACGCCCTCCAACCGCAATATTACCGTGTCAATCATATATGAAAGTTTCAAGGTTCTTTCCATTTTGGTTCTGATTAAAAAACTGTTGATTGCTTACATCCCATGATTTTTGCCATGTTTTCAAGGAAGGAACTTGTGCTCTTAAGTCCAAATCCGTTCAAAAGGCTTACATATGTGCTTGTAGTTGGACAACAGCAATTGTTTTCAAGCCTCAACATTGTCAGCCATGTGGAGGCTTATCGTGTGTGGATGACCCAGGAGACTAGTCATCCACACACGATAAGCCTCCACATGGCTGACAATGTTGAGGCTTGAAAACAAATGCTTTTGTCCAACTAGTTGAGATTCCCACCACCAACAACCAGCTTACATCATGAACCAAATCATCTTCTTTTATAAAACAAAAATCATGTTGATGATGAAGATGAACTCATATTCTAGGTAATATATATGATGTCACATGCTTTATGATTGACGCCACATGGCGAGTGTCGTTTCTCATCAATCTTTAGCGCCCCAGTTGAATCATTTATCCTCACAGATGAATTTAGGTCATATTGGCTTTAATAGCTACATATCACATGCGGCTCGTATTGAAGCCGACACTCAATTTAATTCTAATAGACTCAACTTGAATCAAATGATGAAGGCATGTACACATGCTTTTTCTTCCATGTTTCATGTCCTGCTCAGACTCATTTTCTTGCTTCCTGGTAGCTGACGTTGTTCTTTTATCGCAGATGTGCAACATGACACAGGGTTGACTGGAGGCTCTACTTCAAGGTCTATATCATCCATGTTGATTCTAATAGTAATCTTGATATACTTTGCTTGTCTTTAAGGATCAGAGGATGATGATGTGTTCGTAGCTATTCTTGGATTTCTCTTTTCTCTTGTTTGGCATTCCAAGTGGGAAACTCATAGGCCGGCCTGTTTGTATATAATCGAGGTTCTACTTCTTTGTATGGTGTTCCCTTGTTTGATCCTATTTATGAAAGGACTATAATTTGCCGTAGAATGGTCATGGTTCAGTGACAACGACCTTACATCAGATGGTTTGGTGGTCCTGATTCCGGAATCGAGGCAGTGAAGATATGGCCAAAACTGGATGTGAATTAGGGGCTAGCCCAAAGGCCACAAACATCTACCGGGCCCTTCTTCCTTAATCAGAAAGGGTAGGCTGCTTCTATGCATACGAAAAATGAGGCTCATAATCTAAAACAAGAAAAAGAGGCATTAGCCTATCATATTAGCTAAAGCTAAAGGTTTAGGATCTACAATCATATTTTGTTTTTATGAGTATCTTCCTGTGTTCATTCATCGGCTGGGTTGGGCAGAGGACATGTGGCCAGCAGTTATGATTTATTTTTTTCAAAAATAGAAAGGCAGATAGACTATCTCATTCTCTAGAAAGAACAAATATTATGAACACGTCATTCCATTTTTTTTATTTGAAAAATAATTTACCACACCTATATTAAGTTCGAATACTAAGATATGCTAAAACCCACAAGTCAAATAGAGCATGGCCCTATTTCTTCCGGCGATTATAATTATGTTTGTGTTGTATTATTTTATTGGGATCTTTTTAAGAAGTTATGGCAACCGGTTTATCAATCATATTTTATGATTGAGGTTTTTTTTTTTTTTTAATGTAAATCAATATCAAGAGCTTCTAAGAAAGAAGATAGTAACACAAGCTAGAGAAACAAGTTTAAACTATCAATCATGGGTAATTTTCCAAAGTGACTAAAATTTTATTTGATTTATAGCATACAGTGAAACCATTCTAAATCAATTGTATATTGTCTTACAAATACACAATCTCATATATTGGCAGAAAAATTGAATACCATAGGGATAGCAATCATAAACCAACGTACGGTCCAACAACAGAACATTGAAATCAATAAAATTCTTTGCCATAAAAACAATGAACGAGCGACTCCTAAATATATTAAGAGTAGTGTTAATTAGACACTAAAAATCTGAAGAATTCAACCAACTTAATCATGAAAAACTTTCTTGGTTTCAATTCTCTTGTTCTTGATTTCCTCTTGAATCCTCCAACACAGATTCATCCACATAAGGCTCAAAATCTGACTCAAATGAAAAGGTCTCCACAACATCAAAGCCCATCTCCAGTCTCAAAGGTTTAGTTCTTCCATCTTTTAAGTTGAAAAATGTCAACTTATCAATTCCATCCCTTAATGCAACATTAGCATTGCAGACGCCGGTAAGGATAATATATGGTAACTCTTTTGTTAAAGCTTCAAAGTTCACTATCTGCTTCTTCTTCCATATTTTTCTATCATAGTTCTCGATGATCCATAGCTCCATGAAACGTTCGCCTTCCTCTTTACATATCAGGGCTAGATTTCCCTCAAACTCACCGAGCATCATGATCTTTTGATGATAATTCTTACGAACCGCTTCGGGTAGCGAAATCATGCTATATGTCTCTTCCTTCACATGGAAGGCAAAAATTTTACATCCAAACGTAAGCCAATGAAGTGAACCACAAGCAGATACGGCAGAATTAAAACCAAGGAATGACTCGTACAAAATCACTTCCTTCAGTTGCTTCCATGCATGGATCTTTGAATCAAAAACCTCGCACCGAAGATTGTTAAATCGATAGGAATCTCTATCCGTACGAAACTTAGGCTGAGAAAATCTCACAATCTTGTAATGCAAAGGTCTTGAACTCAACACAATCATACCAACTGCTTTATTCCTATATCGAGTCTTTGGATTCGGAATTTGTTTCCATTGTTTTGTAGTGGGTTTGCACACATAAACCTTTGGAATGTTTCGATATGTTGGCGGGAAATGCGTGCAAAGCAAGAGACCTTGGTTTGTCGAAGCCTCAATCTTTACAGAACAAGGTAAGAAATCGAGGGATAGCGTTGGACGCGAAGTTGTATTGCCAGGAGACAAAAAGATAGAAGAAAATCCTGACCTTATTATTCTTTGCATGACAAAGCCAGATATGCTTTCGTTTCTCTGGCTATGGACATTCTTTGAAGTTGATTCATCAGTATCCAGATCAAGATTCTGAGTAGAACCCATTAACGTAATTGGTGTTAAGCTTAAAGGACGTAAATAAAATAGTAGGGGAGATTTAAGAGGAAATATTGAGATATAGCAGAAGAAAACAAGTTGTGCTAGCGGCTTATGGATTTATATGGAAGAAGAAAGTAACAGCTCGTCAGTGTAATATAAGGATTCATCATTAAGTAGGAAACCTAATAGAATTCCTTTCCGTTTCCTACGAGGACAAGGAACGTTGGAAATTTAAAGCATTCTGTTTCCTATCTCCAGCAGGATTTGTGTAGCCTCTTGGGCATGATAGTTTGGGTAGGAGCTGACCTGGGTGAGTCTTATGCGATGGCTTTTGCCGAGGCTGATTTGGGCTCAGGACACCTGTTGTTGAAATTCAATATTAACTACGATTTATACTAATAAAATTTAGAGTTAATAAATTTTTTTAATATTAGTTAAAAAAAATCCTAATTAATATAGGAATTATTGATGAAGAAAGATTTGCAATAAACTAGCTTATAGAATCCTTGTTTAAATTAGTTTATTAGAATCCTTGTTAGATTTGGATTTTCTTTGAATAGTTTAATTTATTGATTATCTAGGACTTAGCTTTATAAATAGGCTTGTAATCTTAAACATTAAACACAAGTTGAGAGAGATATAAAGAAGAGCTATAAAGTTGTATCTTTTGAAAAACTCTTAATAAATTATCATTCCTCTCATTCTTCTTCTTGCCCTTATGATTATTCTTATAAATTAGCTACCATACCCTATCATTCTTTTTCAACAAGTGGTAAAAGCTATCAAACTTGGTGTATTCTAGTAAAAGCTTGGCTAGATTTCCAAGATACATCTGAAACGGTTGAAAACGGCTTTGAGGAGCTTACAGATGGAGCAATGTTGCCTTCAGCTCACAGAGAGGTCATGCAAAAGGCACGAAGGAAGGATCAACTAGCACTAACAATCATCCATATATGTCTACATGATGCCACTTTGAGATGGTGGCTAACACAACCACAACCAAGCAAGCATGGAAAATTTTGCAAGAGTCAAACCAAGGAGCTGATAATGTGAGAAAGGTACATTTACAAAAACTATGTGGTGACTTTGAAAAGTTACATATGCTTGAATCAGAGAATATTTTAGAATACTTTGCAAGAATATTAGCTATATATAATCAAATAAAAAGATATCGGGAGAAGATGGAAGAGACACATGTGGTAGACAAGATCCTACGCTCGTTGTAAAAGAAGTTTCATTATGTGGTGGTTGCGATAGAGGAGTTGTAAAATATGGATTTTATTTTAGTATAAGGTCTCATGGGGTAATTACAAACCGATAAGGAAAGAGTCGATGAAATTCAATAGGATATGGATGCACAAGCATGTTTTTCAAAGCAAGATAGTTCTGAATATTCTTAAGAAAGAGGAGAAAGAGGAAGATTTAGAAGAGGAGGTCAAGACAGTCTCATCAGATCAAACAGTCGATATGAAGAAAACTGGTCAACTGGCTTAACTAGTAATAGCAATTTAAGATCCAGATTTCATAGCAGGTTTGACAAATCAATAGTTAAATGCTATAATTGTCAAAAAAACGGGTCATTATGTTAAGGATTGTTGGAGTCCAACCAAGAGGATTGAGGAGAACGCAAATCTTGTGATAGAAGAAGAGAATGAAGCCACTCTATTATTAGTACATAATGAGAAAATGCAAGAAAACAAGAACATATGGTACCTAGACAATGAAGCTAGTAACCACATCTGTGGAGACAAAGACAAGTCCATGGATCTTGATAAAGCAATTATAGGTAATGTCACTTTTGCATATCATTCAAAGGTTGTCATTAAAGGAAAAGGCACGATCTTGATTAAATCAAAAGATGGAAGTCATCAATTTATTAGTGATGCCTATTATATACCAAAGGTGAAAAGCAACATATTAAGCATAAGACAATTGTTAGAGAAGGGGTATAAGATTACAATGAAATATCGTACTTTGATATTACTTGACACTAAAGAAGATATGAATACAAAGGCAGCCATGACACAGGATAAAATGTTCTTGCTAAACATAGAAATGGATATGCCTAAATGCTTAAATTATGGTAAGAAATATGACCTCTTACCAATTCTTGATGAAAAGGAGGAAAAATATGAATAACATCAAGAACTTATGGTTACACTTCCACAAGCACCAACAAGCTCAACTTCTTCTTTTTTAACCCATTTTTAGGTCCACACACAAAATGTTTTTATAAATATATAGTCGAAAGAAATTAGAAAAATAATAATAGCAGTAGGATGCTAAAGCGCCTAGAAAATGGTTAAAAAAATTGATTAAAGAGGTTCAAAAACACAAAGATTAAAATTTTAACAGTATATACTTGACTGATGAGAGCCCTGTTGAAAAAGAAAATTCAATTTGAGGAGAAAAGTCTAAAATTTGATATTTATAGACTCAATTGGATTTTATTGAAAGTTTAATTAAATTTATAAAGGGTTTGATTGCAAGAAAAAATAATTTTTAAGTCAATTTGAGCTTTAATTGGAAGAAATTGAAGTTCAAGGGTCAAATTACAATTTTAAAAAGTTGATTTGGTCAAATCAGGGATATAATTGCATGAATATTAAAGTATGGTGGCCAATTGGGGTTACATATCCAAAACTAAAGACCAAACTGGAAAAGACACGTAAATAGAGGAACTGAATTGACCGAATCAGAGACCAAATTGAAGGAATTTGAAGCTTCTTAATAATTAAGAGTCAAAATACACGAATTCAAAACTAAAAACTAAAGTGAAAAGGGTGGCCAACTTTAGGGCCGACGATTGAAGTTAGCAAGGGTGCATTCGAGGACTTAAATGAACAAAGGATGAATTGAGGATTGATTTGGAAGTTACATGTTTTGGCATCATTTTTATTTAAATGAAATGGCGTGTTTTGTCCAAAACGATGTCGTTTCATGTAAAAAAAACAAAACAGTTTTGTTTTAAACGACGCCGATTGGCCACTTAGCCCAGCATTGTGGCAAGGCAGGAAAGCGCCGCTCCCTATGTGCAATGATAGGTTGGGGATAGGGTCAACCCCACTCCCTTTTTTCCATATAAATATCACTCTTAACAACAGCACAAAGAAGGAGAGAAAAGGGAAAAACAGACGAAGGAAAGAGAGTAAGGAAAGAAGACAGGCTTGAAATAGGGAGTTGAAGAAATAGGAACAAAAAAAAAAGAAGAGAAAGTAACATAGGATGGGGAGAGTATAGAGAGGATAACGTAGAAAGAACAGAGAGATAGGGGGAAATGAAAGAAACGAAAGGATAGTGAGATAGGGGAAACATAAGAGAAAGGAAAACACAAATCATAAGAAGGGAAAGAAAAGGAAACGTAGAAGAACAAAAAACAGGGAAAAAAATAAATGCTTTATCTCCCTCTGTTAATAACAGCAGCACCACTACCACCTACCTTCCTCTTAGAACCACCACTTGGAAGAAGAAGCAAAGAAGCAAGGTAACAGAAACAGATAAAAAAAGCAACACAGAAACAGAAGAAAAGAGGAAGAGCAATCGCAGCAACACCACTAAGAACAGCAACCAACATCATTGTCAGCTCATCTATCCGAGCTTATTATTTTCGGTAATTCTCTCTCCCTCATCTTCATTTAATATCTATCTTCTTGCATGCAAAATGTGCATTCTGCAAGTAAGAAAATAATTACTTAATTACTGTGTATGAGCACAGGAACCGGCTAATTATAATTGATTGGCTACTATGTATAATGCACAGCAATCAATCCATAATTGCCACGGGCTGAATCATTAGCCCAGCCCACGCAGCTGGGTTGAGCTTAGCCCAAAATGTAGTATGTGGTATTCGGGTAGGCCATAACCCAATTTTTTTTCTAGTCCAACCTAATCTTAATCTAATCAAAAAAATCTTTTCCAAAAAAACTTTGTAATTTTCATGTGTATTTTTTATATCATTTTGGTTAATATTGGTTTGTATTTTTAAACTATAAAGATACAAATCTAATATTAAAATACTTGGTTTTCATAAAAAAAAAAAAACAAATTATAAAACAAAAAAGAAAATTTTATTTTCATGTATACGGCCACATCTCTCAAAAATTAATTTTCATACAACAAAAATATATATATGTTTTAGAATGCATTTTGGTTTTAATAACCAATTTATTAAAATCATGAGAACTAGGCCAATATTACAAAAAATACCCAAAAAAATATTTTGTTTTGTTCTTTTAGTATCTGAATCGTGAATTTATACATAAAATATATTTCTAATATTAAAAAGAAATTTTTTTTTTAATTGATATTAGAACGGTTAGGTTTTTACCTAATAAGATAAGAACCTCCTTATTAAGGCGGAGTTTTCTTAAACTTTAGATAGACCAATAATTACAAATGTAGTAACACCTTAACTTTTTATCAGACAATGTAGCTTACCTTTGGTAAGATGTATTTAGGGTGCTAATACATTTTCTTTACACAACCAGTTCCCGTACTCGATTTTTGAGACTAGTTAAGATTCCTAGTGATCAAAATACTAGGTGACGACTCTAGGTGACGACTCTCTTTCCTGCTTTCCATTGATAAAAGACAAGGAATCCTTGTCTCCCTATATTTCTCATATTTGCCAAACACATTGATGAAGTGGAAATATCATCATAATCTTCTCTAAGATTGTAAATACCTTCACTAGATGTATGAGGTTGAGTTTTACTCGGTGCCTCATAAATACCCGCGGTGTCCTAATTTTAAGTATTTTTACCTAACAAGTCTAAGTACTCTATTGCTTTATTAGGGTCTTTATCTTTAAAAGTTCTATTGCAAATCAACTCAACCATTTACCTATCTCTAGGTGTTAACCCTTCATAAAAATGTGAAACCAATCTCCATGTTTCAAAACCATGATGAGGGCACTTATTAAGCAAGTCTCGATACCTATCCCAACATTGGTAAAATGTTTCTCCTGGTTTTTGAGTGAAAGTGGTGATTTGTCTCTTGAAAAAGTT